TTCCCCACTGCTCAGCTGAGCACGAAGCCTACTGTGGCGGATCGCGTCTGGGTTCCTCTCGTCTGGCCTCTTTGACGCGAATAGTCTCATGCGGCGTATCAATCCGGCCCAGACGATGTCAATCGTGAATCCCGTATACAATGCATTTGCAAGCCAGTCCTGTCTGACCCGCATACGTACCCATCAAGGCGGACATTTATTGATACCCTGACGATGACCGAAAACATTCCGTTATATACCGCCACCTACAGGCCAGTCCTGCTCGCTTTTTTCTGTTATTATTTTTATTGAGGGGTTTTTTCTCCTGTAAAATTAATCCAATCATTTTTAGCTTTTTCCAAGGAGTTTTTTTAAACCCCTAAATCATCATGTTTCTCAATGGACTTCTAATTCAGAAACTATGAATTGCATTTTGTAAAGATTCGGCCTACCTCGTCTAAAACTCACATGCAAATTTATTTTAACTTGCTTTGACGGGACCCCGACGGGTCTTTAATAAAAAAATTAAATTAATTAAACTAAGTGATAAGATTAAGAAAAGCCAAGTGGCATGTTTCGCAGGATCGTTCAGGTAAAAATCCATGCTGACTAGAGCTCAGAAGCCGATTAGCTAGACAGAAGTCAAGAATTTCATTGAAAACAATCCTTTTAAGAAGCTTTGCTAGAGACGGCGTTTTGTGCACGCCCCGATGGTTATTAACATCGGACCGAGATCCTGACTTGAAAACGGGAATGATAATTGACGTTTTCCATGTTTCAGGAAAGAATCCTTTTAAAATATAAACAAAGAATAAATGACTAAGCAATATGGGAAGGTCGGATGCTTGTTTAATAATCGAATTCGGAATCCCATCCGTTCCTGAGCAGTGTGAGTATTTCAAACGGCTTATATGATTCCTAATAAGATTTGAGGAGACATCGATTGTACTCAGTGTTCTATCTGATAATGAACGAAAGAAAGGGTCTGGTTGGGACTCAGTGTTAAGGTGCTTTACAAAGAAAGCACGAAACAACTCCGCCTTGTCAGTGTCATCGGTGAGGAATACTTTGTTATCGTTTGACTGGGGTGGAAGTTCGTGACCACGCTTAGAGTAGGACCGATGACGGAAGATGTTAACGACGGATTTGCCGGGGTTCGAACCACTGAGAGCAATTGATTCTCTTTGCCTGTCGCGCGCTTGGCGCATCCTTGAGGCCATCTCAAAAATCTCAACGATTCTAAGATGAACTGATAAGGAACTAGTGGAGAGGTCACGCAGTTGTCGCCTCAACTTTTTTTAGTCAGTTCTGAAGAAAATGAGGAACAAGAGAATCTGAAGAATTAGGCTTGAGATATCTACGCGGCACAAACTCTAGAATGTCCTTGGAAACATTGGACATGACATCACGAAGAATGGTTACATCGCTACAAGTGAGGAAGCCATACCAATCCAAGGATCTCATATAGTTATTTATTAAGTCGCTATCTACGCAGTCGGAGTTTATGAAAGTCTGAACGGCGCTTGTCTTTTTTGAAAAGGCAAGCGGTAGGCAACAATGAATTAATACGTGGTCACTGTCAAAGAGGTCCTTTGTTAAAGCAACAGAAAGAGGAGCAATGTCGTTGGTAAAGATTAGATCTAAAATGTAATTATCTCTTGTTGGAGAGCGCACCAGTTGGGACCAATTAGAAAAATTGATAATATCTTGAAAGGACTGGAATCTGGGTGGGCAGCTATTGGAAACTCAGTCAATTTCAGGAAGGTTAAAATCCCCAGTGATTATTTTAACATCGAAAGCAGCTTCCGAAATTAATTTAAAGATTTCACAGAGTTGAGAATCATCACTGGCTAAAGAATTTGGGGGATTGTAGATACAGCCAATAATTGCCTTTCTTCGCGGCGAGAAAATAACAGATGCAAAGTAGAAGTTTCCCGTGAATGAGGAAACATCCAAGTAATAGGGAGAGTGCTTTAGGTAGGATTTAAGATAAAGAAGACAACCACCCCCACGCCTAGTCGTGCGGTCTTGGCGGTAAAAATCGAAGTCATCTATGAGAAGGGCAGAGTCAGGAATTAGAGAATAGGTCCAAGATTCTGTTACACATATAATAACAGGCATCATTTCGAGAGCAATGGCTCTGATTTGGGCCATCTTGTTTATAACAAACCTGGCATTCAATAATATAATATCTAATGTGTTTCAAACGGCAATGCTATTTTCGACGGTATTTAAAAAAGATTTGGAGGCGGATATGTAAGCTGCGAATTAATGACACTTGGAGAATAAGTACCAGTTAATTTAGAGTTATTGACGTACGGGGAGTCAGCAAGAGAAGGCTGAGTATGAGACCTAAAGGAGGTGGGGATATAGTTTTCAAACATTGGAATGCTAGGGGAGTTAGAACATGGATAGACTTGTTGGTAGTTAAATAAAAGAGGAAGGGGAGGAGGAGGAGGAGGAGGAGGAGGGAGGCTAGAAGGAAAGTAGGGGCTAATGGGTGAGGGTAGGCCATTAAAAGAATGAAATAGTGGGAAACCAGGTCTAGATTGGAAGTCAAAGGAGATAGGTTGACGTACCTGAGAGCAATTGGCCTTAAGTGGTGGGAAGCCTGAAGTAGGTTGGTGCATAAATGACATAGGGCAATTCATGTTTTAATTATTTGCTAGATATATAGTAGGGCTTTGATAAGTAACCGGTACGCAGGACAGAGACTTATTCGAGGATATAGTTGGAGCTGCGGGGTTTGTAGACGTGCTGGGTTGAAAAGACTTGTTAGATCTAAGAGGAGGCGTCGTACCACTAAATGGAACTGTATTACCTATCTTTTGGGTCGGAGTCGGATTCAATTTTCGAGTCTCACCGTTCTGACGCCAAGCCACCGGTGACTTAGCTGTAGACCTTACAGCACCCAGTTGGACAAGAGAAGTTATCGGTCTAGCTGATGTAGACGGATTTTCATGTGTCTCAGCGGGACTATCCGGAGGATACGAAACGACAAATGGGGCTGCTGCTGCTGCTGTTGATGCTGCTGCTGCTGCTGCTGCTGCTGCTGCTGCTGCTGCTGCTGCTGCTGCTGCTGCTGCTGCTGCTGCTGCTGCTGCTGCTGCTGCTGCTGCTGCTGCTGCTGCTGCTGCTGCTGCTGCTGCTGCTGCTGCTGCTGCTGCTGCTGCTGCTGCTGCTGCAAGTGTAGGGGCAGGCAAATGCGTCAAGTGGCTTGAGTGAGATGGAGATGTAGGAGAAAGAGGAAGGAGGGAGTCAGATGTCGCAGGAGTAGGACAAGCTGAATCCTTACGGTCACTTGTATTATGACCGAGTTGGGGAGCATTAGACTAAGAAGCAGTGAGTTTACGTGAGAATAGAGACCCGATTCTACGCTCCATAGGAGTAAGATCATGACAAAGTAAAAATTTTGCCTTCTCTAGGTACGCAGTGACACGCTGTCGATGGGCTAAGATTGTGTCAACCTCGACTGATATAAATAATTTGACTAAGATAGGTGGATTTTCGCTACAGGGGGACAAGCGTTTGGCATCGGTTATTTTGTAGTTGAAACCCCATTAATGCAGGAAATCGGTCGCAACATCAATTGGTCTAGCAGATCGAGGAACATTTTTTATCAGAATGTTGTAAGAACGCTTCTGTCTATCACTAGATTCGCTGGCGATCAGGTGAACAAGTGAGTCGAGACGCCTACATTCTTCAGAGGGAATATCGGAGATGTACCCGTCGAATAAATGTCCAAGAATTGTCAGCAAAGTGCCAAACTTTAGCATAAAGTCATTGCAGTGGTGAAGTGCAGACAAATCAAGCTGCCGAGCAATTACAACGGGTGACGACTGACTAGTAATATCATCTGACTTAGATTTTGGTAAAGCTTCTGACTTACGTTTAGTTAGGCCATGCTTACTTACAAGAGCCGAGAGCTTACGTTGACCAGTGAATTTTGGTCTCATCTTGTCTCGAGGCAATTTGCGATTAAGAAAACTTCTGGCAGACACGCTGACAGAATTTCAGCTAGGGGCTAAAGATGTAAAAATAAATTACAACAGTTAGAGAGAAATCGGATGCACAAAATGCGAATTGCAAAGTGTGATATGTGAAAAACGGGCATAGACTAGCAAAACTCGAAAGGAGATGGCAGCGGGCAGTTCTGAGAGAAGAGGCCTGTATTTAAGGAAATTCAACAAAAAACAGGTACTAAAATCGTCAGATCTCACAGAAAAACCACTTAAAATAATATCCTCCACCTATCTTCAAATTTAAAACCAGCGGCTTGACCAGCGGCTTGACTTCTCTCCGTAGTGAGCGGCAGTCAGTGGTTGTTATTTACTTTGATCTTAGCAAATCCTTTGACAAGGTGCCCCATAGACGTCTTTTAGTAACCTTGGAAGCCCTCGGCATCCGGCTGCCTCTACTCGACTTCATTAGGTCCTATCTGTTTAACCGATA